TTTTTTTTTGGTCCATGTACTTTTGGTATCCTATCTAAGAAACCATTGTCAAATTCAAGGTAATCAACATTTACCTCTGTGTTTTTTTCTACTAGTTGTATAGTTTTGCTCTTCTGTTTAGGTCTTTGATTCATTTTGAGTTATCGTGTATGGGTGTGTGTGTGTGTGTGTGTGTGTGTGTGTGTGTGTGTGTGTGGTGTGAAGTAAAAGTCAAACTTTAGTTTTTTGTATGTGGATGTCTACTTATCCTAGCACCATTGGTTGAAGAGACTATGTACATTTGTACTTGAAAAAATACATCAGGGGCTGCCTGGGTGGTTCAGTCAGGTGGGCATCCAACTCCTGGTTTTGGCTTGGGTCATGGTCTCCTAATTCATGGTTTCAAGCCCCACATCAGGCTCTCTGCGCTGGTAGCTCGGAGCCTACTTGGGATATATTCTCTCTCTCTCTCTCTCTCTCTCTCTCTCTCTGTCTCCCCCTCTCTCTGTCTCAAAAGTAAATAAATAAATAAACAAACTTTAAATATATACACATACTTAAAAAAAAGAAATCAGACTAAAATCCTTTTTTTCTTTCAGTTCTAATACTTGAATAATTTGCTTGAGTTTAGGTTTACATCTTCCTCATAAATTCAGATTTAACCACTACGTAAAGTTCTAGAATTCACATGCATTTTGAGTCCTTTTCTTCTTTGTGGAAACTGAGTGATCTGTAAATGTCGTTGTGTGTTTTGATCACTTTCATTATTTGCAGGAAAACAGTGGAAAGACTTTCATAAAAGGAGTTGTTTCTTCTTAGGGTGAAAATTTTGCAGGTGTCAACTAGTGTTACCTACTCATTAAAATCTTGGTAAGATTTGGGGCGCCTGGGTGGCTCAGTCGGTTAAGCGTCCGACTTCGGCTCAGGTCATGATCTCGCGGTTCGTGAGTTCAAGCCCTGCATCAGGCTCTGTGCTGATGGCTCAGAGCCTGGAGCCTGTTTTCAGATTCTGTGTCTCCCTCTCTCTCTGACCCTCCCCCGTTCATGCTCTGTCTCTCTCTGTCTCAAAAATAAATAAAGGTTAAAAAAAAAATGTTTAAATCTTGGTAAGATTTGCTCAATTGCTAAAACACCATTTCATACTCTATGGAAAGCCAGTGAACTAATTTACTCATCTGATAGGTATTTATTGACTGTCTGTGATGTGCTGGGTACTGTTCTCAGTGCTGGTTTTACACATTCTTGGTTGGGGAAGAGGTGGTAGAAAGTGATGCGATATTTTTTTATTTCCTAGTTACCTAGATCTAACTGATTTTTTGTATTCAGTTTTACAAAGCCCTAGGTCTTAAATTTGTGCTTTGATCTCCATTTGGTGTGAATCAAAATATGGGATTATCCCAAGCCTTGAGTATAAGAGGAAATTACCCTATTGTACTACACAGTAAACCAATAGCATATTGTATCTAAACCATTTTTTGGACCCACCTACTATCAGGGCATTGCTCTGGCTATGCTTCCTGACACTACCATCTCCGCCTCTGGCCATCCCTTAGATATTCTACCCTCTTCCCCAGCCCCGTCTTCTCTTCTACTCCCTCTAGCCGTAGAGAATACTGCTAGACTCTCAAATCTTCTGTAATATAGCATAATTTAGTTCTTTCTAGCCTTCACTGCCAAACCCAGCTCAAGTCCTGTCTTGACTTTTTCAGGGTACTCAGCCAAATGCAAGTGACCAATCTTTTGTTCCCTA